CATACATACATACATACATACATACATACATACATACATACATACATACATACATACATACACATACATACATACATACATACATACATACATACATACATACATACATACATACATACATACATTACATACATTACATACATACATTACATACATACATACATACATACATACATACATACATACATACATACATACATACATACATACATACATACATACATACATACATACATTACATACATACATACATACATACATACATACATACATACATACATACATACATACATACATACATACATACATACATACATACATACATACATACATACATACATACATTACATACATACATACATACATACATACATACATACATACATACATACATACATACATACATACATACATAACATACATACATACATACATACATACATACATACATACATACATACATACATACATACATACATACATACATACATACATACATACATACATACATACATACATACATACATACATACATACATACATACATACATACATACATACATACATACATACATTACATACATACATACATACATACATACATACATACATACATACATACATACATACATACATACATACATACATACATACATACATACATACATACATACATACATACATTACATTACATACATACATACATACATACATACATACATACATACATACATACATACATTACATTACACTTACATACATACATACATACATACATACATACATACATACATACATACATACATACATTACATACATACATACATACATACATACATACATACATACATACATACATACATACATACACATACATACATACATACATACATACATACATACATACATACATACATACATACATACATACATACATACATACATACATACATACATACATACATACATACATACATACATACATACATACATAACATACATACATACATACATACATACATTACATACATACATACATACATACATACATACATACATACATACATACATACATACATTACATACACAACATACATACATACATACATACATACATACATACATACATACATACATACATACATACATACATACATACATACATACATACATACATACATACATACATACATACATACATACATACATACATACATACATACATACATACATACATACATACATTACATTACATTACATACATTACATTACATACATACATACATACATACATACATACATACATACATACATACATACATACATACATACATACATACATACATACATACATACATACATACATACATACATACATACATACATACATACATACATACATACATACATACATACATACATACATACATTACATACATACATACATACATACATACATACATACATACATACATACATACATACATACATACATACATACATACATACATACATACATTACATACATACATACATACATACATACATTACATACATTACATTACATTACATTACATTACATTACATTACATTACATTACATTACATTACATTACATTACATACATTACATTACATTACATACATTACATACATTACATTACATTACATTACATTACATTACATTACATTACATTACATTACATTACATTACATTACATACATTACATTACATACATTACATTACATTACATTACATTACATTACATTACATTACATTACATTACATTACATACATACATACATACATTACATACATACATACATACATACATACATACATACATACATACATACATACATACATACATACATACATACATACATACATACATACATACACATACATTACACATACATACATACATACATACATACATACATACATACATACATACATACATACATACATACATACATACATACATACATACATACATACATACATACATACATACATTACATTACATTACATTACATTACACATTACATTACATTACATTACATTACATTACATTACATTACATTACATTACATTACATTACATTACATTACATTACATTACATTACATTACATTACATTACATTACATTACATTACATTACATTACATTACATACATTACATTCCATTACATACATACATACATTACATTACATTACATTACATTACATTACACACATACATAACATACATAACATACACAACATACACAACATACATTACATACATTACATACATTACATACATTACATACATTACATACATTACATACATTGGATATAATGTTGAATTTGTATAAGCTTTAACCCGCGATGCCTTGGTGGACATCACTACATGGGTATGTCCGCGACAGGTGCTCCGACTGCCCCACAGGTACGCAGTGGAGCCCTTCAGGCCCACGTCCGCCCGTCCGCCCGTCCGCCCGTCCGCCTTGACCAGGCTGCTGTTGCCAAGCGCCTTCGAAACCACGGAGTAGGTATCCAGCCTCGTTTCAGTTCATCGCTCGGCGGGCTCCTCTCCAGCAGTTTCTGAGATTTTGGGGTCGTCAATCTCCTGGCCTTGATGTGTGGTTGCTGTCCGACATATTCTTTGTGGGCCAGGGCCAAAAGGCGTTGCCATGTTGATTCCCCCCCATGTGCCATGGTCCAAATGACGCGTCCTTTTTGGATCTTGTTGGATGGTAATCTTAAAAAGAGGGGCCTTGCTCCAAGATAAGGCACACTTCTCCAGTCTCAGCATTGTCGGACGAGACCTCAATTCAAGGGCAGGGAACAAAGAGAAAGGGTGGAACCAATGATTCTCTTTGCAGCTGTTAGCAACACCCAGTGAAATGGACAAAGGAAACGCACAATGCTTTGTTGCTGTTGAGCTCCCTGCAAAAAGTTTAATTCTTTGGGTGTTGAGTGGAAAACACCTTTATTTCAACCAAAAAGTTAAAGTCTAAAGATCCAACCCAATAGCAGTCAAGAATGGAAGTGTAGCATCACGTCCGACTTTGGCCCCTTAGACCGAGCTGCAGGATCAGGGCCCTCTCCAGGATCTGCCACGAGGTCGCTCGGTCGCAAGTGCCGCATGAGCGCATAAGTTGATCAAAGTCGAACTTTCTCGAAAAGAACGTTGCCAAGCCCAGCAAGTCTCGCTTCTGTTTGAACATTCCAAAGCTCCAGGGGTTGATTCCTTTTCCATGTCTTTTTTTTCAGCCATCGTTCTTTTCAAAAACCGATCGCCATTTCCCTATGGTTTTGGGTGGTTCTCTTGAAAGAAGGATCCCTGGAAAGAAAGGGGAAGTTACCCCTAGATGTTTGCTCCTTCGTGGTTGGAAAATGTAGGGCTGGCCATTTTGTTTCAATAGGTTGATGCGAACAGGTCCAGTGTAGTGTGGAACCCTGTTTCGGGAAGCCTTTGCCAAGGATCGACTGGCCAGACCGCACAGATCTTGCTGCTTGCTGGGGAAATCACTAAAACAGCGGAGTGGCCCGATACTAGCAGAAATACAGGAACCAACGAGCAGTAGTAGTATTGATAATCAAACAATTTGGCAATCACGAGCCCACAAACAACTTTACCCTCATAAGTTGGTGAAGCCAAAGGACTATTCCCCGACGAAACCAAAGCAAATGACAAACATCAACTAGCCAACTCGTCCACTCACAAACTCATCACCCTGCGCGCCGCGCCCGCCAAGTATCCATGCCAATTGACTAGTTGCGTGTAGGAAGCTCTTTGCAACTCACGAAGGCTCTGTGAAGCTTTGGTCACCAGATCGCGAAGCTGTGCTCGCGAACAAAGAACCCTGCCATACACACCGGGCTTCTCGGCTGTCAATTCGGTGAACGCGGCACATGTCGCCGCACCTCGCTGTCTTGCCCATCCTCCCGCCGCAGCCGGCCTCGGTGGGGCGAGAGGCTTGCCGGCTCTCAACATGACCCTGCAAAAATGTTGAAACACTTGAGCCACAATCAAAACCCGGCACAAAAATGGTCGACCCAGAACTATGTAAAGAACCAAGAAGGCGGCCGCAGCTATTTATGGCTGGGATCGTCCCTTACTAACCTTCACTTACCCGGGTTTTGATTGTGGCTCACTTGGAGAATGGATTCCTTATATTTCTTGCCGGATGGATTCCCTGAGTTGGACCTCAAGTCGTGGGAAGGCGGTTATTCACCAACAAAAAGTTTGGGACTGCGGCACACCTGGATGATATGCCTCTGCTGCAATGGGCAGCAAATACATAGAAGGTCTGGCCAAGGTAAAAAGCCTCAAGGAGCATCCACGACAGCATCAGCCAAATCAGTCTGCGTAACCTCCCTGGAACCTAAATAGAACGTCTCTCACCTCCCCAAAACCTCCCCGGGCCCAAAACCCAGGATCGGGCTTCCAAGGGAAGTCCACAATGAACCACATTTAACACAGCGATTTCTGATTTATGTCGCGCATTATAGTTCCAAAAATAGGAACAATGGACAAATACGTCTGTTTGCGCACTCACTTTGTCGAGGAAACCTTTGGTGTGGGTTAGGGCAACCAAGAGGCAACCACATTTCGGTTCCCGGTCAAAACACCACCACTCTTCGAATCGGCAAGGGGCAGAGGGCGTGGAAGGCTTCATGGCGCAGATTCGCTTGCACCGGGTGCACGGCCTGCCCAGTGCCGCAACTTGCTGAGGGCGCTCAGAGCGAGTTGGCATGAAACCCAGGAAACCCCTAGTGAACATAAAATGGGTGGTACATGGGTGTTCATCCGCCCCAAAATGGAGGCATAGGTTATGACCCATGGCCATGTGTCACCTATGTCCCTTCCCGAGCGGATTGGCAAAAGAAAAAGAACCTGGATAAAATTCTCAGTGGGTCCTAGACGCAAAATGGGGGGGGGGTTGCAGAAAGGACAGTGCCTCGTCCCTGCCCTGAACTCCGATGGAGGACGGAGCCTGGCCAATGGCAAGTCGCAAGAGGAGGTGGGTGCGTGTTGCGTTGAGGGTATGTTCACCTTGGTTGCAACAGACATCAACTTCGAAACAGGCCAGCTTTTCATCATGGGCTTCTCTTTGAAGAAAGGAATGCCTACTGAAAATGAATCCCTGGTTCGCAACTTGGGAACTAATCAGGCCTTCCCATTGCAAGGATAGGGACCTATGGGCGTGGTGGGAAAGCCACAACAGGGGGTTGCGTTTGATTTCCCTTTAAACTCAGAAGGGGAGCCTCCTTTGACGTGGTTGTGGAAAATGGCCCTTTCTGTCACATTGAAATGGAAATTCCATTCACGCCGACGATACATCCATATAAGAATCCCAAAGCAGTGACATTCCTTTTGGTGTGTTTAACCCAACCTGGAAAATATACCCTTACAGAAGACAGGCACCTATGTGGGTCTCTAAGTCAGTCTCTAATTGGCAACAACACCCATGGGGCCAAACAGTGCCAAGCGTGGCGGGAGCTCCAGAAACTCAGTTGCCATCTTCTAATCCATCTGCTCTGAAACTGTCGCTCGGCAGCAGCTGAAGGCCTCCAATGGCAATTGGCTTGTGCTTGGTTCCACCTCAACTCCGAGCTCTGCTTGCTTGCTTGTGGCAAAACATCATTCGAATCCTTAAACGCTGCCTCGGTAAGCTGCATTCGCTGGTGGGCCACTGGTGGAAGACTTGTGGCTGTGTCCTCTGTTGCACCTCTTTAGAGCAAACTCAGCGGAAACGGCGTTGTTAATGCATTCATGAGTGTCGTGGAGAACATCCGGAAGTGGTGCATTGGCGAACCGCGCTTCTGGCTGCAACTCGCAAGGCATGCATGCGGGTCTTGCTACTTGCCTTTTGCGTGGCATGAACTGACTGACCAAGCTACCCGCACCCTGTCACAACCAATCCAAGCCGCCATTCCTTCAGGTCGGCTGACATCCACGTCTACGTTGTGGAAGCACGAGATCAGAAGCCTTGAATTCCAACATGCTGACTCTTTTCAGCCACCCTGCAAACAACTGTCTCCCCGACTGTCCGCTGACTCCAATTCAAGCACATTGCAGCCCCTCGGCCTTTTCTTGCATGTCGACTTTGCGAGACGCGTGATGGACCTACATTTACCTCGACACAGCGCGGTGGCGCTGGTTCATTCAGGTTGCGGTGCCCATTGACTAGTGGAGAAGACAAAGAAGCTGTCATCGCTTACATAAGTTGGATGTCCGTTCGCATGTGCCAGGGTCAACATTCCCCCCGCAGCGGGGGTCTGGATGCCTTAATCACCAAAACCTCTCATAATGGTTGTTCGCAATCCCCGTTGAACTGTCTAAGGCCGCTCCTGATTGGTAACCCTCAGTAAGCCATGGCACATGTGGCCATGGGTCAAAAGCCCGCACCCCCAGTGAACATTCCAATCCCCACCAAAATAGACTAAAATGGGTGGTGTACCTACCCCAAAATGGTACCATGGGTGTTGACCCACAGCCATATTAACTCAAGAGGAACCGCCGCGGCAGAATGCGCAGCCTGCTTGGCTGTGTGCACAGCCGTGCGGGGTTGCTTGCGCCGACCCACCCACCCCACTTGCGCCTCCCAGGTGTTGCGTGTGGCTTCTGTTCAGGCAGCATGGCCCCCAAATATGAACCGTCCTAACTTCAAGCACATATGTAACTACATTCGCATATATATATATATACACATATTGTACACCTACATATAGACACTTCACAACAACTACTGGTGACGTATAATATATCTACACCATTAATGTGCTTGAAACCCTTGAGAAAACCATCGACACACCGGCTGATCATTTCTTTTCGGTGGTACACATCATCTGGGGCTTTCAGAGTCAACATGACGAATCGGCTGCACCACATCACAGGGCGGGCGGCTTGAAACAAACCCGCGTGCCCCGGCTCACGCTACGGGCCCCCTACCCAGGCTTCGTGTCACATGACTTCCTGTTAGGAAGGTCGAATACGTGGATTCAATCGGGAGGTGCCATGATGTCTCAAAATGGTACCTCAACTTCACCCACCGGGGAAAAAAAAAACGGACCCAGACAGCTACCTCAAAAAAACACACCCATATCACACCTACGGCTTTCCTCCAGAACGCTTGACATGAAGTTCACCCATGTGACACGGCCAGGAAGCTACACGACTACCCCATCTGCACAGAACCTCAGCTTGAAAGGACTTTATGGAGCCACGAAAGGTCAGGTAATTACTCCCACCTGCTGACATAGCCGTCTACCAAAAGCATCCCATCAGCTTCCATGCGTCTTGGACCCCTTCTCACTCCCGGAGTGGATTGGCCAGAACGCAAGTTCAGACTTTTCGGATTTGGTTTTCTGTTGAAGTGATCTTCAACAAACTCATCTTTCTGAGAAGTACAAAGTCCGCAAAAACTGGGGAAAACGGGCAATTTGCATCAGAATCATGATCCTTGTTATTTTTTTGCAGCCGTACCCGTGTAATTGCTTAAACAAAACACTGAATTTGCACCAAAGCTTTCGCCACACATCCTGGTCCCCTGCGCCTTCAGAACTCGTCCTCGCAAAGGTCCCCTTTGGCGCTATGCAAAAGCCAGATGTGCAACCACACGTGTCCACAGGTCAAAATCTATGTGGCTGTGAATCTCAGGGATTCCTTGGACATCATGTGGGGAATCATGTTTATTTACCACTTAGCTGCGGATTCAGGTCCGCCAACCGCTTGAGAGGTGTCCCCCAACAGACTTCATACCAATCTTTGCTTCAACATCCTTATTCTGTCGTCTGAAACATACACAAGCACTGAGCATGTTTTGCCACCACATCCCCTATTACCATACCAACAAAAAGCACGAGCATCGGCCTCTGCCAGCCAACAATACCAGTGTCCACGTCCATTCAACGAGAACAAACACTGCCAGAAACAACTGCGACATCGTGTACACTGGGTGAAATAGAGTGATTCTCCAGGCTGAAATACGGAATACGTGGACCTCTAAGAAACCAACACCCTTTGTGAGACCGCGTTGATTTGCCCACATCTTAAACTTAAAAACAATGCAAACACAAAAACAAACATGTCAACCGGGGAAAGCATCTCAGGCCGCCACCAATGATGGTGTGCCACCTGGACTTCACCTGGTCGCCTCAAGCGGTCAAGCGGCGATCGGGGCTCGAGCCAAGGCCGAACAAGGGCCCTGTGTGGTGTCCAATTTCAACCGCCCGAAAAGGGTACCCTTAAAGACAGGGCTGATTTGAACCAAGCGGCGAAGTTTGCCGCTGGAGCCAGAACTGGGTTCCTTAAAGCGGCTCGTACTATTTCAACTGTGGCATCATACATTCAGCCTTTGGACACAACACGGCGAAAATTGGAGTGAAACACAAATAGAGCAAAATGCCCTTTTTGGCAAACCCCTTGCAATGGCTGCATCTTGCGCTGGCGTCGGGGAAATAAAGCAACCGCTGAGGGAGGCAAGCAAGGATCCGAGTTGCGGAGAAAAACATGTCGTATACAATATGCAGGATGCGGCTCAAGTCAGCTCGCTGGCCTCAGCAAAAACATGGCAGGGTTGCCTTTTTCACCCTAAATGGCGGCACCTGAACATGGCCCATCGCCGTCGAGACGGCAAGAGGAAGAGCCTTGGAAGGGCTTTCCAGGATTCGACGATGGGACTCCTGGTGTTTGCCATTTTAAATATGATGTTACTATTTGCACCCTGCGAGTGATGGTCCAATGGTAGAGAGTCAGACCTCTAACCAAATCAAAGGTGTCAACAGTTCAACTCTGGGCGCCCTGCGCTCCGGTGGAAAAACCGCCAGCCCTGGCAGTTTTGATAGCCAGGGCTGAATAGACGCCCAAGACGAACAAGTCGTCTTAGAGGAATCACCTTTTGGACGCCCGAAAAGGAGGGGTGTCATCAGAATTCGGGGAGGGAATCTCTAGGCCCTTTGAGGTTCTACGGGCAAACCGGCTCGTGTGTACCTGAGGTTACCTGAACCGTTCCCTGTTCCCTGATACCCTGCTCTCGAACGATCTCAAAAGTGGTTGTCACTCGCGCAACAACTCATTGCCGATCAGGGTCAGACAGGTCAGGAATTCCTTCCACTCACGTTTGCCTTTCTTTTCCCTGTCAACGCATGGCGAGGGGATTCAGAGGCCCCTAAGTTTCTTTCATCTCGTGTTCGCGGAGAAACAAACGGGAACGGAACCCCTGCCTCGCTTCCGTTGTCTTATTGAGGAGCAGGGGAAAGTCCCTGCACTGTTCTCAGAAACTATGCTGGGTGTTAAATAGTGGGTCTGGGCATTTTACCCATTGCGCTCTTCCAAAATGTGAACTACTTCCCAGTGGTTCAGTGACAAACCATTTGTAGCGGGGAAGCCACCAAAAAGGGAAGAAGGATGCCACTGAACCACCGGAACCCTCCCCAAAAAAAGGTAAAAGGGCACTACTGGGGGGCCTGGTATTTATGGTTGGGATTGTCCGTTACTAACCTTCATCGAATCGGTTTTGAGCACGTGGCTCACGTGTCGGCTCGCCAACTTCTCCCACTCCCGGCGCACCGGCCGTGCGGTCGGGTGCGGCATGTCGCGCCGGAAGCGTCCAACGACAGTGCGTCGGCAGCCTGGGGATCTGCGGGGACTTTCGGGTGGCCTGCTGGAGTCTTCTAAATAGGGGTGCCTGTTTTTAGGGGACCCGCCCCAAAATTGAATTTAGTTGGGTCCCTTTGGGCTCCCTTTGAAGCCACGCGAAAATGGTACCCGCACAAAAAGACACACCCAAATCGTGTTGACTTTGACACTGATTCAGCGTATGGAACCAAAGTCTGCTGCGAGCTGTGCCCACTGGACCGCTGCTGAAGCATTGGGGCCAGGTAGAATAACGCGCCTTTACAAAAGAGCAGTTTGGATCTCTAGGAAAGGAACCTTTGCGGGAAAAGTTTCCACTTGTGAGGTCACCATTTGACTCGAATCCTGTTTGAACCCTGAATTGGATCGCTGCCTGTCGTTTGAACTCAAACAGCGTTGAAACCCTTATTGAACACTATTCAGATCTCAAGACGTTTAATTTGAGACGCGAGAATATCAAGCTTGAAACCTATCGAGAAATGCACACCTCATACCTTGGGACACCTGCGGGCTGTCCAACATGGGGGAGGCAACATGCCTTTTGTCGGGCTCGGCCGTCGTCTTCAAAATGGAGACGAACAAAACCGGGGACCGGGGTACCGAATCGAGATCCTCGAACTCTCGCGGCGCGGCCCTGAGGCCCTGAGGCCCTGCGGCCCTGAGGCCCAGGCCCGGGATGTTCAAATGGATTCCGAGGTGATGGCATCTCAATGTCAACCTCCTTCGCCTGAGACTTCTCACCAAAGGCATGGGGAAGGCCGTGAGAGTTTCTGGATGGGCTGGAAGGGGGACCCAAAGGGAAACCTCGGCTCCCTGACACAAAGCCGAAGTTAATGAGTTCATGGATCCCCGAGATCCCCCCTAGCAAACTCTCACTGAAACTCAATCAAGCAGAACACGCTTGCAGCACTTCCAGCTAGATCCACGCTGGGCAAGAACAGCTGGCGAATCTTTCCGAATACAGCAATGCTGAGTCATCCGCGTGGGCCCCTCGGAGTCATCAACAAAACCAAGAACTAAAGGACTGACTCTACCAAAAAGAAACGCCGTTGTTTTGCGTGTGGCAAGGAGACTGTTCCGTTCAATTGACCCGAATTTGGATTGCCTCCAAGTCGCATTTACGCGATCCACCGGATAGCCAGGCGTGCTTTGCACAGAGGATGCCTCGCGTTGCAGGGTTGACAGCCGGGCTGCTTCGGGCTGAGGGCAAAACACGAATGGACGCCTTTCCAAATCGCTCTTCTGTCAACATCTGGACATGCAAATCTCCTTTGAACAATAGAATCTTCGATTGTTTTGGTGTGAAGGGGATGAGGTGCTGGTTAAACCCGCATGACCTGGAAAATACCACCCTCCCAGCCTGGAATCCAGTGGGCAACTCAAAGATCTCGCCAGAAACCTCGACAGATTCGAAGTCGGGCAACACAACTACCATGCAAATAAAGCATGGGAAAGCTATCAAAGAGCCATGATGTACTGCTTGCGGGAGGTTCAGACAGTACGTTTTCCAAAGTCCAAACATCCAAACATGCGATCTGACACACCAAAAGCAGTGCGATCTGAAACAGCCATGGAGCTGACTCACACGCTATACCAGAGGAGCCGACGAAGCTGGAGGGCCGACATAGCTATGTTGATATTTGTGTTTTCTTTATTTTCCCTTCTTGCGGCTTGTGTTTCGTCTTTATGCATATTCTTTATGATTTCCTTTCATTATTTATGCCTTTCTTGCTTTCTTCTTTCTTTGCTTCCGTCTCTTTTCTTTGTCATCTGCCTTCCTTCCTTCTTTCCTTCCTTCCTTCCTTTCCTTTCCTTCCTTTCTTCATTTCTTCACGGTTTTCCTTATTTCCCTTCTTCTTTCCTTGTCTTTCCGTCTTTCCTTCTCCCTCCCTCTCACCCTCCCTCCCTCCCTCTCGCTCTCTCTCGCTCCCTCTCCCCCTCTCTCTCTCTCTCTGTGTTTCTGTCTTTCTTTCTTTCTTTCTTTCCTTCCTGCTTTGCACGGGCGGGGAGGCGCGCTTGGGCGCGCGACTGCCCATTTTCCATTTTTCAGCCTCTCTCCTGCCTATCCGGGCGCGCATCTAGCCCTTATGTCCATGTTTGTTTTTATTCCTACCACTGAATCTCACTTTTGACCTCTCTCAGTTTCTCTCTATTTAAACCTATCTATCTAGCAAGGCAGCTCGCTAGACTCTGTCTGTCCATCTTTGCATCTACCTATTTAAGTCTCTCCCTATCTATCCTTCTAACAAGTATCCATCTATCTGATCTCTCTACCCACCTAGCCCTCTAAACACCATCTCTCGCTATGTGGGTGTCTATCTGTTATCTATCTACCTGTCTACCTACCCATCTGTCTCTCTATCATCTCTCTACCTCTCTACCCACCTAACTGTCCATCATGTTCTTATTCATCCGCTTCTCCCTCTTGCTTTGTGTCTTGCTTTCTTTCTTTCTGTCTACTCTGCCAACTCTATCTACCTATCTATGTATGTATTTGTCTATCTGTCTATGTATTTCTCTCTCTCACAACCCATCTGTCTGTCTATCCTTCTGCCTATCTATCTATGTCTCTCTCTCGCTATCTATCTATCTCCATCTATCTATGAATCTGTCTGTCTATTTCACCTTATACCTTCCATAGCAGAAATGCGCCATGAATCTGTACCGGACCCTGCGAAAGCGCTGTGCCCAACACGAATTCTTCACCCGACCTTGTGAAAGTGGCACGCGTGCGACCAGATCTGCACGCCTGCAACGAAATCTTCAGATGACCTTGCCAAAGTGCCACGAAACCTGCACCTGGCCTTGCGAAAGTGCTGCGCCTGCAGAAAGTGCTGTGGCTGCGCGCCACGAAGCCTGCACCTCACCTTGCGCGCCTGCCACAAAATCTATGCCTCACCGCCTCACCTTACCGAAGGCGTGCAAACTACTGTCGCGAAAGGCTTGCGTGTCCGTGCCAATGGGCCCAGCTCCGAACGTGCTCTGAGATCGCTCCGATCGTGCTCCGACCAGGAGCCGCGATCAGGCCAACTTTCGACCATCCCGAACCTGCAGAGGGTTGCACGTTTTAGACATTTCTATTCCACGCCACACGCACAAGCATGTTTTGCACGTCTGCCTGTTCTCCTCTTGTCTTCTCTCAGAGAGCTAGTTTTCAATTAGTAGCCGTACCACGGAAGTTCCTTCTAAACTTCCTTTGACCATAACAAGCACACGGCACATGTACCATAGTAAGTTGCATCATGTCGCAACGTTCCTGGCATGTCCCCAAGCATGCCAGTTGTAGATGTGTGTTGGTGTGTCTGTGTGTGTTGGTGTGTCTGTGTGTGTGTGTGTGCTTGTGTGTGTGTGTGCTTGTGTGCTGACACATTGTCCACAGAAGGGCCAAATTTTCATGAAACACCTTCGGTGTGACCAAAGGCCTGCGGCGTCACCCTCAAAAAGTCAAAGAATGGTCCACCCAGAACTGTCTTCCGCGCCATAGGACCTTTTGGAACCTTGACAGAACATTGCTGCCTAAATCGAAAGGTTAAATCTGGCTGATTCGATTCAATTCCAACTAAGAGAAAGCAAGCAAAGCGTAGCCTCTGACTAGCCAATTAGAGGTGCATAAGCGCTAAAGGAAAGGATTCAAGCGTTTTGTCGGGGAAACACAATACCTCTCCAACCCATGGGTAAAGTTGCAAGCGAAAGAAACATAAACAGGGGCCAACTCATTTCACAGCTGCAATCAAATGAGCACGCACTCTAAGCCGGAATCAGGCTTTCTGAAGAATGAACCCCCATCATCCGTATCTTGGGGGAGGATCAGTTTGCCCCAAAACGCACATCCGGACAAATGCAGTGCCCCGTTCTTTTGCGTGGGTGTTGCCCTTTCCTTAGCGGGGGGGTCTTGACTTATGTTTCTCAGGGGGGTGTTTGATCATCCGGAGATCAACAAGCCCTCGGTATGGAGGACCCCCCCCAAAATGGCACCTGTTTTACCCCACTTCTCATGGGGACGTTTTGGGGGTGTAGTAGAAAACCCTTTGATTTCCCCAAAAGCTAAAGTCTGAAGATCCAACCCAATAGCAGTCAGGGGGGGGGGGGGAAACTTTTGGGGGGAAGGCGGGCAATAGCTTGCTTGGCAGGGAGCCGGTACGGAGCTCCAGCCCAAGCAGCCTGGGACGCCGAGCTTGTCCCAGCTGAGGTGACTTAACTGGGCTGTCCCCAGATCCCCCGCAAAAAGTTTTACTAACTTTTGGTGGGTTAACTGGAATTGTACCACTAAACACTAACAGGCTAAAAAGCGAAGGAACCGGCTGGCTGGAACCACCAAGTGAAGTGGCAACCACAGAGATGTGGTGTTCGTACAGTTGTAGCCAATAATCACACAGGAGAAACAATTTTTGGAAGTGGCCACCTTTAGAAAGATACTAACACGATTCCCCTGTATTCGCCTTGTGCCTGTCCGGGCGCTGACAGGAAAGGGTCCAGCTCTCCGGGGGATCGTAGTGTGTTGGTCCGGATGTCATTTTGGAGGCGGCCTAAGGGCCAAGTTCTCATTTCGCCAAGTGGGCCCTTGGGATGCTGATTGGGGGGGGGGGAGGTGTGACCCCGACACATATGAAAAGAGCAGAGATTCAAATCGCTTTTAGGTGACACCACTCCCTGTGAACCCGCCACTGCATCCAGGGTCTACATGAGTGTTTTCGTAGAACCGTTACCTCCTTTCTCTGAATGCTTCCAGCTGTAGCCCAGTTGTTCAGCACCTGCTTCTGGATCCGTTTCTACTAGATTTTACTGATCTTTGTTGGTTCCATCTGAATCTACATGTATCTGAAGTGGATGAGGCGCTGCTATCAACTTGATACGCGCCTTCCTTCCCACATGAGCAACAGCCGTATCACCTACTATAGTTGTTCCTTTGGGCGGCCCCGCCCCTTGTGGGCAAAGAGGGAACATCGTCCTCCCTGAATGAAGCACAGATTTTGGACTTTGTTTTTCCCACCCACTAGTAAAGCTAGCGGTGGATGATGTCAATGGAGAAAACAACCCCATTCTTGGTCGGTCCAATCATCTCCAACCTAGGCTTCAAGTAATTATCATTGTCTGTTGCTCCCATGGGCCATGCTTTGTTGGTCGTGCTCAACTGTTGCCTCAATAAGTAACACAAATCATCGGGCGTGACCTGACCTTCGCATCCCAAATCCGGTACACATGATAAACAAATAAGACCAACAAATAAAGCGGACGGAAGCAACTCTGGAACACAAGCAGCCGGACTCTAGGGAATACAAAGCTTTGCTCCAGAAGCGGCTTCTGATCGAAGTTCTGAAGGATTATGAACACGCTGTTGAGATGAACAACATCTAGCCTGGGTTCGTTCGAGTTGAGACTGGGTCAGGCTTAGACCCGCAAAAAACTAACAACTTGTTGGGCATTGTAACCTAAGTTCGGTTCCTGATTCGTCCCAAGGACGAACCTCCTACCGATGTCCGGTTGCAGGTCCCATCACGACTCCGACTCGTCTCTGAGCTGGACGCCGGGCACAGGCACGGAGTGGATGCCAGGCCACTGGGCCTGGGATGCACTCACCGACCCGCTGACCGAGCTGAGCTGACCTCGGTGTGGAGCTGACCTCGGTGTGGTTACGCAGCGCTTAGACTTTGGTTCCATTTGCCAAGGGTGCCATTTTGGCATTTTGGTACAAATATGTTTGAGCCACAGCCATATGGTCCCGCTTTTGGCTGCACAGGCTCCAAGGAGTCTGGAAAGCGTCCAAAGGACTCTCCCGGTCAATAGGAACGCCGTGGTCTTTCAGCCGTCCAGCAAATGCGTGTTTGCTGCTTTTGTAAGAAATAAACTGCCTTACTGTTGAGCGGAGTCTCTGCTTGAAGCTCAGACACTTGCGATCATACCAAAGAGCAAACAAGCTGAAAAGCTAAAGCTACCAGTAGAGAGTTGATTGCTCCGGCTGGATGAAATGGAAACCATGAGCGTGCCAACCTGGACAAACAAGTTCTGACACCATGTCCTGTGCTTCAAGCGTCCTAATAGCCTTTAGACGCTGGGCTCCACATGCACATACTGTGAAGGAGTATGGAGTATTGCTGGGACAAAGCCTGCTTCCAACACTGGGGTCGACTGAAACCTCACTTGCCCAGTGGCTTGTCCTTTGCTGAGCTCCATGATGCCAAGAAAGACTTAGACCCAGGGGGCTTCCCTTTGGTGGGAGGCTTCCTAAAATAAGGCGAACAAATCACGGGTTGCAACTTGGGGTCCCGAACCCGCCCAACTTCGCCCGTCGCCTCTGCGTGGTTTGCAAAGCCCTTAGGTCTCCAGTCCCTCCTGCCAAAGGCGGAAGCACCCGTTTTCGACCACAACCTGTGTTTGTTGGCGCAGGAACCTAGAGCACGGCAGGGTTGGGACAACCCCCTTGTTCAAACGTGTTGCCAATCAACAACTTGTCCAGCGCTACGTAATCCGTAGGGTGCCTTGACCACAGGGCAACCCATTCAACACCATGGAGTCACTAACTTCGCACGGGAAATCCCTGGCCTTAAGACTCGCAGATTCCAGAGACATCACCTCTCCTAGAGAGGAGAGGTGATGTAACATTGTAATACTACCAATGAGGGAAACCAAAGGAGCGCTGAGAAAACCTCGGCTTGTGAGACCCAACACTGTCTACGGTTTGCTCCCATCAACATGGTCAAACCAGTTTGACAACAGTTTGGTGACCCTGAATAGGTCCCAGCGAATGGGCGATTCAATGGATTCCAGGCGGATGCTACACACGTTCTGCAAGCGGTGTTGGACCCTGTGTCAGACCCTGCTTAGTTTCAGGGCGCCATGCATTGCTTCAAACATGGTTGATCTGAGGTGCGCCCGGGTCCTTGCCCTCTCCAGCGAGCGTGCCTCACTTGGCAATGCATGGCGGGTCAATCAAGCCAGGCCTGTGCATGTTGGCCACCTTTGAAACGCCGGAGCATCTCACCAACGTCAAGCATCCAGCATAAAACAACGCATGGTACAAGAGGGTTTATATGAGACAGAAGAAGGCATCCTTCTCGGACATGCAAGCAGCACGGGGTGGTTCATCAGTTGTCCAGAAGGCCGTGTTTGTTTGTGTGCCCGCAAGCCGCAAGCAAACACTGCATACTGCATGTCTTCAGTCAAGCACCCTTGCAAACCAATACGTGCAGTTTGCCTTGCCCCTGGGAAATGCTCAAAAACCCTTTGTGTGCAGGAGCTGTATGCAAGGGACCCCTTTCTCAGAATCTCCAGTGTTTGGCTAAGTCGCAACCACTCGCTTCTCATGTCCTGGAAACAGGGTGGATGCAAGTGGTCTATGTTTTCCAGACCCTCCGGGAAATACCGGCTGTGGATGAACGAAATCCTGCACTGTCTGGGATGGATGAAACCCTGTAAACAAGGGGCACTGGGCTGTCCTCAAATCCCCTGCTAAAGTTTAGCTTTTGGTGGGTGAAACAGAACCCCCCACTACACCAACTAAACCCTAAAAATGTAAGGAGCCGGGCGGCTGGAACCACTAAAGCGGTGGAAGGCCTATCAACTGGTGCAGGATTTCGGCCATGAATGTCCCAATGCAAACCCCCCCTGCACCCGGCACGCCTTTTGCCCAGAGCCTGGGGCCGAAGGTGTCGCCCGTTCTCTCTGAATAAACTTGAGGCAAGTAGCAGAAAACAGCCGCGTTGACATCCAAAAACAAGACATGTGGACAAACAAAGCAAACAACTAGTTGATAGAAATGGCCCTCTATAGAAACAGATCGACTCTCAACAATCCATGGCGGACATGTGACAGGAGAACTCATTTAAGATTATTTCTTCTCTTCTAAAACACTCCTGCGCACTTCCCTCCTCTTTTCTGGGACAACTCCGCCAGCAGGTGTTGCGGAGGTGATTGCAACATGTACTTGATGGAAGAGCGAGCCTGCTCTCAGCCGTGGTGCCGCGTGTTTGTCCCTTGAATGACTTGAATGGCCGGTATTAAAGTGGCCTACCCAGCATGTAAATGATTGTCAAGGCGGCCGCACCCCATTTATGGCTGGGATCGTCCCTTTCGAACCTTGATCTACCCGAATCGGTTTTGAGCACGTGGCTCACATGATTCTGGGCTTCAATGAGGCGGCAAACGGAAAGCCAACGCCTGGCCTCTCCCATGATGCTTTCATGTTGCCGTTTCTCTGCACAATGGTGTATGTGTACGTATATATATATATATATGTAGCACAGAATGCAAACAAAAACCACGACTTTTCTGTTCAAAGAGCAACCATTCCATCGACTCACAGCAACCATGGCTTGCCAATATACGATCCGTGTAGATCAATAAGGTCATCAACATATGTAAATCAATCTCGGGGAATATTCCCTCTGTCTTTTCCCCCTCCCCTGCAAACGGAGTTCAGATTGTGGCCCATCTTCAGTGAACATGTAACATCAAAATACAAGCTATGTCAGCTCCCCAAAATGGGAGGTGTCCTCTTTCACCACAAAACACTACCCCAACAAAGGGTGCCAACTCGCAGAAGGGCACGCCCAATTGGAGGGCACATTCTGCGAGTGCCCGACACCTTGACCTTTGGTTCCAAGATTTCGATGCTCGCTCCACCATATCTAGGTCCTCCAGTAGAGAGGTTAGAATAAGGGTACCAGGTTACCAACTTGTTTCTGTAGTCTATTTTAGTAGGGGAACCCTCCCAACCAAAAAAAGGGATTCAACAAGGGCACCTAGCTGGGGCACCTAGCTATGCTTTTCCTTAGGTCGAGCCCGACCGGTTGCTAGGGCCGGCGGCGGGCGAAGCGGGCGAAGCTCGGGGAAGCCTCCTGCCTGGCAGCGGCTGGTGGAAACCGAAGACGGCTGACTGAGAGGACACAAAAGCGACCTAAGGTGTTTTCACAATGTGAGATGCAAAGGTGAACTGGGTGTCTGAACTGACGAACGTATCGAACACCTATGTATATATATATATGGGTTTGTATTTTTTTAGGGTGGCCGGGCAGGAAGGTTTGAGTACGGGGTATGATTCGCAGGTATGATTCGCGGGTATGATTCGGGGTATGATTCGGGGGTATGATTCGCGGAAGCAGCAGCAGCAGCACTAGTAGTAGTAGCAGTAGTCGCCGAAGTAGTAGTACTAGTAGCAATATTGTAGTAGTAACAATAGTAGTAGTAGTAGTAGTAGTAGTAGTAGTAGTAGTAGTAGTAGTTAGTAGTAGTAGTAGTAGTTAGTAGTAGTAGTAGTAGTTAGTAGTAGTAGTAGTAGTAGTAGTAGTAGTAGTAGTAGTAGTAGTAGTAGTAGTAGTTGTTGTTGTTGTTGTTGTTGTAGTAGTAGTAGCAGTAGAAGGAGTAGTAGTAAATAGTAGTAGCAATAGTCCTAGTAGTAGTAGTAGTAGTAGTAGTAGTAGTACTAGTAGTCGTAGTAGTAGTAGTAGTAGTAAGAGTAGAAGCAGCGACTGTAGTGGCGCGGAAGCTTTGAAAAGACTTGGCGCTGGACTTGGCAAGGCAAGTTCATTGCGCGGGTATGATTCGGGTATGATTCGCGGGTATGATTCGGCTAGGTGCAAAACGGGACTGATTGCAAACTCGTAGTAGCTGTGGTAGTAGTAGTAGTAGTAGTAGTAGCAGTAGTAGTGGTAGTACAGAAGTAGTGGTAGCAGCTGTGGCATAAGCAGCAGCGGCTGTAGTGGTGCGGACGCTGTGAAAACGACTTGGCACTAGCCTTGGCAGGGGAAGCTCATTGTCCGGGTATGATTCGGGTATGATTCGCGGGTATGATTCGGCTAGGTGCAAAACGGCACTGATTACAGACCAGAAGCAGCAATAGTAGTAGTAGAAGTAGTAGTAGTAGCAGCAGCAGTAGTAGTAGTAGTAATAGTAGTAGTCAAGGTTGTAGTCGTAGTAGTAGTAGTAGTAGTAGTAGTAGTAGTAGTAGTAATAAAGGTAGTAGTCGTAGTAGTAGTAGTAGTCAAGGTTGTAGTCGTAGTAGTTAGTAGTACGGGTAGCAGTAGAGTAGTAGTAGCAGCGGTGGTAGCGGTGGTAGTGGTAGTAATACTCGTAGTCGCGGTAGTAGCAGTAGAAGTAGAGGTAGTGGTGGTAGTAGCAGTAGTAGTAGTCATTGGAGTAGTAGTAGTAGTAGTAGTAGTAGCAGTAGTAGTAGTAGTAGTAGTGGCAGTGGTAGTGGTAGTATTGGGTAGCGCTGGTGGTGGTTGTTGTGGAGACAGTGAACAACACAAAACGGTAGAAGAACATTAGCATCTTGCAGCATACGTTTTAAGGGGTATGATTCGGGGGTATGATTCGGGGTATGTTTCGGGGGTATGATTCGGGGGTATGATTCGGGGAGGTCCCACCTTCTGCCTTTTGAAGCAACTCAACACACCAAAAAAAGACAAACCCATATATATATAGTATATGTGCGCGTGACCAGTCAGTACTGCATGGCGACGCTTGAAGCGGTGTTTGAAGCAGCCCTATATGCTTCATATGTTGACCATACCTGTGGGTATCTGTTGGACCAAGGAGGTTGAGAGGCACGCCTTTTGCACCAGCTGATCAGGGAAACCGACGGGGAACTCGCTCTTTTGCTAAACGTTTACACTGATATTATACACAAATAGATACAAAGCTAGAAGGATATGACAAATTTCCATGTGTTTTAGCTGATTGCGTTCAAAACACCCGTTTGATCCCGTTTGGTATATCATTGTGTTTTGCCGTTTTGTTCCCGGGTTTGGCCAGGTGGGGATCGCCCGAACCTGGTCTTTTTTCCGGTTTTTTCCCATGTTCGTCGTGTTTCGCCGGGGGGAAGTCAGTCCTTCTTGCGGCCGTAGGGGTAGAGCCCGGCAGTCATCACACAAGCATCCGCCAGCAGCGTCAAAGCCGCGGTGAGCTCCGTTGTGGCGTGGAGGATCTGACGGATTTCTTCGTGTTTCGGGACCCTTGAAGCAATACGTCCAAGGCCAAGGGAACCAAAACCGCTAACCTGGGCCAAATATGGACATAGAACCACCAAAATGAGAAATACCACCACCAACCTGGGCCAGAAAGGAGGTTTACGACCAACATGAGCAAAAGGAGCTGAAGCCCCGCCTGACTGATTGCGCCCGCACAGAAGGCCTCCACATAGTCCTTACCATAGCTCTCCTGGACAAGGTCCCAACCACTCGCCTCAAACTTGGAAGCCTTTCACAAGCTTCGAGCAAAAGGACAGCTCCAAACAAGTGTATGCACATCAGGATCCAGCATGTTCAAACATAGCTCACGGCCACAGGGTTCAAGAGAAACCAGGTTGCGTGAAGCAGAAAGCCTCGAACCAAAGAAATGGAATGAGTAATGGGCTCCCCATTCTCTAACAAATGATTCCCCCAAACCAACAAACACATCCATGCCCAAATGCCGATATGGTGCATGGTGCCCCCAAACACAAAGTGATTGACTGGCCGCCTTGCTCAAAATCAGTTCCAAACACCTTTCCGCCGGGGAAAGCTACGGGGAACCAGAGGCAAAGGGGCCACCGAATTCAACACTCTGGTCTGCATGATCGAATTGGGAGCTTCGGTGGGGTCTTTGCAAAGTCAAAGTGGAGGGGCAAAACCGAGGGCTTCGAAGTGTGGGAAACCGCTAAGGAATGGCTGGTCGCTACCAAAAAACGCCTCCCAACACTGGTTGTCCAACAAAGGCTTCTGCCTCTGTCCTGTTCTTTTTGGGGGTCAGGACCCAACATGGATCACCTCTTTAATGCCCCTCAACCCCATGCCGAGATGGCCCGTCCATGCACTGAGCAGTGGCATCTGCGAAGACATGACCTAGGCAGTTTGTGGGCGCGCTGTCTAGATTCAGGGTTTTCATGGGCCTGACATCTACCATCCAGGCGGTCATGGGAATGCCCTATATCAATTCAGAAGGGCCCGCAGAAGTTCTAGTTGCTTAATTAACTTGACCAGGTAAAATGACGTTTTAGACTCTTGGCAAACAAATGGTTACTGTGCGGGCTTGAACACTCAAAACGGGGTAGGCAACTATGAAGGCAATTGGAGTCACGATCATAGCAGAAAATGTTGGCGTTAGCCTGACGTAGTACTATTTTCACAAACGTCGAAACAACGACGGAGCTACAGACAGCCTTAGTGCAATCTTTCTGGATAATTTGAGGTGGGCAACCCACCAAACACAAAGGGATTTAGGCGCTGAACAACTGAGAGTTGATAGGATAGCAAAACTTGGCGACTCTCCGTCAAGAAGCTGGTCACTGCAAAGGCCGCAAGCGCTCCCTGGGCGTTGGCGCCACACCTCGCAGGAGACTTCTTGGGGTGTGCTTCAAAATCGGGAACCCCAAAAAAGGTTGGCATCTGTTTGGCTTCCCTTCAGAACCAAGTCCAAATGGGAGCTTGAAAAGAGGACACCTCTGGGTTGCGGGAAGTGAAACCACTTCTGTGATACCACTGGAAAGCCTTAATGACAGATCCAACAGGACATTCCCTCATAATACAGAGGTGGCAAACTCCCCTGAGTCCCACCCACTGTCCTGAATCCCTCCGTAAACGCAACATTCTGGACATGTCGGATGAGCAGCGCCCCAGCGCCCGCTGGGGCGCCCCCATGCAATTTATGCAACTTTGGTTGTGCTATACTAAAACGACAATCAAGTCTTATAGATAACTATCACCCTTTGAACCAAGAAGTAGCATCCCTAAAAGAGGCTCATAATGGCCAAGAAGCCGCGGCGCTCAGATGGGCCCGGTGGACCCTAAAGTCATTGAGCTTACGAAAGGGTAATACTTCCTTTGTTGATTGTCATTGGCAGTTGCCAAATCACGAAAAGATCCAAAGAGACATGGAAGCTAGCCCCGCATTCTCCTTGAGGCTCGGAACCTGGAAAACAAGTCCCAAGGGGGCAAATGAGTTAACACACCTGGGCGACTTCTATGTGCGTGCGGCCAAAGTACCAGGAATGCCTATTTTTCATGTAAGGCAACCAAAAGGATTTGCAAATTCAAGCTGAAACAAGGGACGCCCAAGTAAGAAACTTCATCGCCAGGCCCAGGTTCACCCCCCTGAAAGTTGAGAAGGAGGCTTGAAAACGGGTCCGATCCAAATCTAGATACGTATACGTGTTGTAGGCTCCTTCATCCTTCTGATTTTGCGGATTCAAATAAAGGAGCTCTCCTTGAAAACCGCGCGAAGGTCGGGTCCTTTGCAGGACCCCAGCAAGTAAACCAACCTCAAACCATGGCGAAGTACGGGTCTTGCTTCCTGCAACGATTTGGGCATAAATCAAGATTGATAACTGAGCAAGGACCAACCGATTGGACATTCATGGGGGGTCATGGGCCACAGTATTGGTGTCAGTTCCGAAATTCCGACGTTTCAAAAAAGGACAAGTGTCTTTGCTAGCGTCTCCAGCCATGAAGTTCGGTCGCTCGTTTAGGGGAGGGGGCTTCCCGAATCGATGTGTCAGATTTCCTCGAAATCCCAAGCTGCATCCCATCCTCCAAGGTCGGGGGAGTTGGATCTGGAATCGTAGAACCAGGGCAAAGCCCAAAAAACCAGAGGTTTGGCATTTCAGATTGTGTCAAAACTGGAAGTTGGGACAGGCCTGGGCGTGTTACCCAAATGCAACCACAAAAACTAACATACACAAACAAGTCAAATATTTCGAAGGGACCAACTATCTTTCTCGCCGCCATGTCATTTCGGAGCTCCCTATCTTTTTCTCTCCCTCTCCCGCTCTCTCTGTCGTTGCAACTTGGCGCACCCCTACGAACAGTGCAGGATGTCTTTGCAACTTCGAGAGTGTGACTTTCAGCGAAACGAACCTCACTAAAACGAATCTGGGCCGGGTTCATTGAAGTGATCCTTGACCCTTTCACGGTTGCCTAAAACAATGAGATGCCCACCACAACCAGTGCTGAGAAGCCCTACAACATGTTCACGTGAATGGAGCCCATACTACGAGATGAACGAAACTGTGATAGTGCAGTTCCTTGAGCAGGCAACACATGAGTCACAATCAAAACCTGGTACAAAAAAGGTGAACCCAGAACCATGTAAAGAAGTAGAAAGGCGGCTGCAACTATTTCCGGCTGGGTCTTTCCCTTACTAACCTTCATCTACCCAGGTTTTGATTGTGGTTCACATGTTGAATGAACAATAGGGGCTCTAAACGAACTTACATATTATACATCCCCCTATACATCCCCTTGCTCTTTTTATGGTTGGAAACACTTGGGATGCCAAAGGATGTCACCTGTTTTGACTCCCTGAAGCACACTAAAAGACTACCCCATGAGTTGCGGAGTTGCGTCTTTGTCTTTGTCTCTCTTTTCCGGGAGCCTGCGTTTTGTTCTCAGAGGCAAGCCAGGAAAACAGCTACAGGAAATTGTGATAAGCCAAGTTCCTGGAGAAATTCCATCAAACTTTCATAAGGCAATTTCCTGCAGAAATGCCTGCTTCCGCTGATTTATATGAATCAACCTTTTCGGGATTCCCCGCCTTCCATTTGCTTTTTCGCCCCCTGGAAAAACTCAGTTTTAAACACGTCCAGTGATAGCTTCCCTTCAAAACCAACAAAAAAGATTCATGTTCCAAGCAGTCACAAACATGGGAATCCCACTGCCATTTGCAGCACACTGCGGGGCAAGCGGGTTCCAGCACATGGACGCCCCCAAGGTCCTCGCCCGAGGCGCCGGAGCTGCTCGAAGTGATCCGTCTGGTCCTGGCAGTGATGGAAGACGCCGTTCAGCTCAAGGGCCGCCCGGCCGATGAACAAGACACCCTGAGCTGAGACCCGCGACACGGGGCGCTCGTCTCAAAAAAAACTAGAAGAAAAGGGAGACCTAAATTTACTGGCTTCGTGGTTTTTGGTTTGGGTGCCAATTTAAAGCCGCACCCTCAGAAAAATGCACAGAAAAGGTCGAAGCTTCTAGAATGATGAGAGCGTTCGCGCGATCCTAGTGTTGGCTACGTGTTTGCACTGTTCAAGCATTAGAGCCCCTCCAAAATTGAACACCAGGTAAACGGGATGAGCAAGAAACCTATGCGCAATTTGTGGGGGTTCTATGTCTGCAATGTTCAGAGGGTAAAATGAAGGTATGAGTAAGGAGCCCAAATGTTGGTTTGCAGGGGAGCAGGCTTGGCGTAATTCAGAATATTTCTCACCGGGTTGCAAAAGAGGGAACTCACCATTGCCTGCATTTCTAATTTTAGCAACACACACACACACACGCAACATATCTTATTGATCGGTCCTGCCTGCGCGTAATTGACGCCGCATTCAGCGCGATTGATATTTTTCTCCGTCTGCTCGGATTGATACTCCTTGACCTCTTCGATCTTTTCCGCGGTGTCATCTTCCTCACTCCTAGGCTCCCGGCAAGGTCATGATCAACGCTTCTGCATGAGACTCACTTGTTCCTCGCATAGGACGCTTGTTGAAAGCTAACACAAAGGGCAAAGGTCAAAACGCAGCCAGGTGAGAATGATCATCCCTGGTTGGTGGCCTGGCCCTGTTGGAGATCAGTCTACCACTCATTTTCACGTCAAAGTCACCCATGGCTAAAAAGAGAATCCCCCCCAGCAACTCTGACAAAGGCAGACCACATCTATAGTTCCACCGATGCTACAGGTGTACAAGATCATCCAGTGCCTGTCGCAGGCAGCCAGCGCTGGATGAATCAAATGAGGTCGTTTTGGGGTATCTGCGCAAAATCCCCTGCATGCAGGCCTGCCGTGATTGTACTTGTCCGCTTTACCCAACCTATGACATCCAATGGGAACTATTCGGCCCACCAGACCAGGGGTGCGGGCAATGACCACTGCTGTGATACAACAAAAAGGGCCTCCCAAAGATCTTCCCCCCCATTTTAAAGAGGAGAATTCCCTTGTGTCACAAAAACAGAAGTGGGGATAAACCCCTTGATCCAACAACCTTGCACCAGACACACTGACTCACATATGAAACTTGCAGCGTGCACGCAAACAGCTAAGAATCAAATGAAACTGCCGCAATCAACCTTTTGACCTTCCTGGGAATGGAGGGTCCGGTTGCCTGTGAGTCACATGCACATCTAACATGACCCCAATCCCAGCTTGCAAACGCGTCGGGAGGGGAGTCAATAACAGTTCAGCCAACGGCACAAATCGGTTCTCTTGCACACAGGTTGCCCCAGCAGCCAAAACAAGCGGAAACCCCTCCAACAAGAGCTTCGACAAGCCCTCTAGACACGGGACTGGGACCTCAGGAATGACCCGCGATGTGAAAAGACAGCCATGTTGAAGCACCTCACACAAGGAACCAGCGTGAGTTTTATGCCACCACAAAGAAACGTAATAGAACTCGCTTTGCAAGACCTGTTCTCTATCCCTCCGAAATCGGTCAAAAAAACAGGCTGGGCAGGGACCATGCCACCCGTACCCAACAGAGTGCCCCGAAAGCAATGGGTACAAGGGCGTTGGGAAGTGGCCATAATAATCAACTCAAACATGCAATGGGGCTCGATTGATTTCCAATTGACTGGGCTGTCCTCAGATCGACTGCCAAGAGTTGCTTTATTGGATTGAATTAAAACTACCACCAAACCCCTAAATAATCAAAGGAAGTTTAACAAGAAACTTCCGTAGTACTGGAACTAAATGAGCTAGCTGCTTTGACATATAGCTATGACAGGTAGCTAGCATGACAAATAGATAGCTTTGACATATAGCTAGCTTGACAGATAGATAGCTTTCCAATAGGCTTGCATGACAAATAGATAGCTTTGACATGACAAATAGATAGCTTTGACATATAGCTAGCTTGACAGATAGATAGCTTTCCAATAGGCTTGCATGACAGATAGATAGCTTTGACATATAGCCAGCTTAACACGTAGATAGCTTTCTCAAGTATAGATTTCGTGGCAGGCGCAGCACTTTCGCAAGCACTCTCTGCGAGCTGGGGGATGGCAAGATGCAGAAAACGTTGGCGCTGTGCGTGATTTGGGCTTCCGGACTGTGCGCAAACCACCTCGGCTGCGACGCCTGTACGGCGGCGGTCTCGGAACGGTCTCGGAACGGTCTCGGAACGGTCTCGGAACGGGTTCGGAGACGGGCCCATTGGCACGGCCGCGCGAAGGTTTCGCAAGGTTTGAATTGCGTGGCAGGCGCAGCACTTTCGCATGGTCAAGTATAGATTTCGTGGCAGGCGCAGCACTTTCGCAAGGTCAAGTATAGATTTCGTGGCAGGCGCAGCACTTTCGCAAGGTCAAGTATCGATTTCGTGGCAGGCGCAGCACTTTCGCAAGGTGCTGCGTCCACTCTCTGCGAGCTGGGGGATGGCAAGATGCAGAAAACGTTGGCGCTGTGCGTGAATTGGGCTTCCGGACTGTGCGCAAACCACCTCGGCTGCGACGACGCCTGTACGGCGGCGGTCTCGGAACGGTCTCGGAACGGTCTCGGAACGGGTTCGGAGACGGGCCCATTGGCACGGCCGCGCGAAGGTTTCGCAAGGTTTGAATTGCGTGGCAGGCGCAGCACTTTCGCAAGGTCAAGTGTAGATTTCGTGACAGGCGCAGCACTTTCGCAAGGTCAAGTATAGATTTCGTGGCAGGCGCAGCACTTTCGCAGCACTTTCGCAGCACTCTCCACTCTATGCGAGCTGGGGGTGGCAAGGATTGCAGAACAAAGTTGGCGCTGTTGCGAGGAATTGGGCTTCCGGGCAATGCGCAAACCACCTCGCTGCGACGCCTGTACGGAGGCGGTCTCGGAACGGTCTCCCGGAACTGTCTCGGAACGGTCTCGGAGACGGGCCCATTGGCACGGCCGCGCGAAGGTTTCGCAAGGATTGAATTGCGTGGCAGGCGCAGCACTTTCGCAAGGTCAAG